AGCTACTAGAAACAAGTGCATCGCTACTAGTAACAAGTGCCTTACTACTAGTAACAGGTGCATCGCTATTAGAAACAAGAAGTTGGCCCTTGGAGTTCCTAAGTGCGCGGGTTGAATTCGGCCGACAGGCTTTCGAAGCAGTGAGCAGATGTCAAAAGGTCAACTTTATGTTCTTCCCAACCTGTTCGTCCGCCTCTCTCCTTTCTGCGCTTACATGCAGCTAACGGTCAAGGCTTCCCGCTCTCAGGATTGACGGAAAGAAGGGCAAAGGGAAAGGCAGGAAGTGTGGAAACGTTCACTTTCTCGAGTGAAAGGAATGCAGAAATAATGGAAGCCTAAAGAACTTGAAAGAACTGAAGACACAACGAAAGAAACAATGAACTTGACGTCTTTTTCTCTTCATTCTTTCGGACATTGAACAGGTGCTTTAGGTATATACAACTGAAAATTTTGAATGCCGCTGCCGCTTCGTGTGCTAGAAATACCCAAGAGGGCACCCACGCATGCCTCTTGAAGGGCTGAGCCGTTTCTTTTCGTTCAGGTAGTAGAAAATTATTAGCTTTGGCATTGTAAAGTAGTATCTTCTTACTACTGTAGTAGCTATTTGCTACTAGTAGTAATGCCCTTGTGTACGTCGCATTCTATGGCTCAAGAACAGGGTGCCTCGAACGCGAAGTGAATTCCTTTAATATCGTCAAAAATTGTCCCGACATGCGTCATCACCTTTTGCCGTGCATTTCTGTGCCTTGACTCTCCCTTGTGCTCTCTTCTTTGCCGAAGTTGTCGAACCGACCATCTCGATCCTTATAGTGCTGTACGCCCCTGGATGCTTGTGTCACAGCTGGGAGCGCTCTCCGCCTTTCTTTTTCATCGGACTTTGCCCATTCTCCGCATCAGCTTTTGAATCGGCTCCCTATTGGGGGCGTGTGTAAATTGTGAAATCAGAGGGTACGTGATTCGCAAGAGCGATTATTCGACAGTCCGTTTGAACCGGTCTAAAGAGTAGATGGACGGCGACCTTTCGGCGGTGGCAGAAACCTCAGTTTTATGGAGTTTTCCGTGGCGGAGATGGACCACGACCTCCTTGCCCTGTGGAAGGTTCTCCCTCCCTCCTTTCCCCTTTCCCCTTGGATCCTCACCCATGTCCTCCCCTCCTTGTCGATCTTCCAAGGCAACTTCGCCCTATGGCCAGGCTTTTGGCTTTGGCTTGCTCTGTTTGAGCAGCGGCTAGCGCCGATCTGCCAGTGCATCCGCCAAGCCCGAGGTCAAAGTCGGAGACATCCACTCCCGATTCGCTGGAACTGATCGAAGCTGCTTGCGTTGAAGCCTTCACCGCCCCAAGCAACGTTGCATCGGCGTGGCCATGTCCAACTCCTGTGCCCTCAGACTGTGCCTCCCACTGTGGATCTCAAGCAGCTCCGACTCCCAAGGCTTTCGGGATTGAGATTCCACCAACAGCTGCGTCAGCTTGATTTTCACACGACGACCGGCTCCTTCAAACTCGCTCATCGCATGTCGCATCACATTTTTATACAACCTGTGAGGTCCCGCATCGTTGGAGTGATAGACAGCCGAGGTCGGTCCACGGCTCAGCGCAGTCTGTGCAGTTTGCTCCACCCATCACCTTCTCTTCTCAGTTCCATGTGCTCGTCCTCGTATCCTTGATCGGACAAGGCCAGGCCGCTGTAGCCCCTAGCTCGCACCAGTCCCACTTTGGCATTGGTGTCCTCGGAGCTGGACCCTTTGCAACTCTCATAGCCTAGCTCAACCCAAGCCTGACCGTGGAAGGCGAAGGTGGAGCACTCGTTGGTGGTCTTGGTTTGGAATCCTTCACCTTTCTTCTTCAGCGCAAAAGCACAGCCTGCCCCTACTGTACCTCTCAAAACGTTGGTCTCATAACCGGCACAAAGCAAGTCCTTTTTCCAAACCCGCCTCCAATGCTCAAAAAAGATCAAAAAGGAGCTAGGGTGATTCGTGTGGTGCTCCAGAGCAGAGCGCAAGCCTATCCAACCGCTTCGAGCATGTGTGAATGGATTTCTGTCATGTTCGCCACGTATTTGAATTTTCCATCATTGTCAGAACAGGTTTTGCGAAGAAGATCCCCAATCGGTAGGACTGGCTGCTAATCTTTGCCTTCCCATTCGCACTCTTTGGATCTCTTTGGGATCAGGATGGGTTTGGATGATCGAACCGCGAGCGACATAGCCTGTGTATATATATATGTGTGTAAATATATAGTCGCGATGCACGGCGTTGACTCGAGCATGCTGGGAGGCCTAGGTGTGGTGGTGACAAGGCTGGCGGGCCCATTTGTTTCGCGCTCTGCCTCCTTTCCACGCCTCTCGGCCTCTCATCTCCCCTCATCTCATTCTTTTGGTGCTCGTTCTTCCTTCTTTGGTGTGTCCCTATCACTGCGCGCTTGTATCACAGGGAACATCCTACCTTTGTTTTTTGGCATCCTTAAGGTGCTCCTGGATGCTTGTCTCTTAGCTGGGGGATCCCGTGTCCGGGTGCCCTCACCTTCTCCGAGGGCTGGGAACACCTACCGTTCTTTTCTTTTCTGTTGGCGTGTCCCCTGGATGCGGCGTTCAGTACGTATTGATATCTCGAGTCTCGAGTGTGTGTGTTTGCGCTTGTGCTTTTCATGTGTGCAAATAGATGCACCTACTGTAGCCCTTTTGTTGAATTGTTTGTTTTGTGGCTTCTTCGTCTAATCATGTCTTGTGGGCTTCTACTATCGTATACTTGCATGTTTAGTGGAGATTTACAGGAGAGTTGCCAAGCTACAAGGGCAAAGGCTGGCAGGTCTGGTGGCAGGAGCGACGTGCCGAAAAAGCGTCCAAGTCAGATGTGACGACTAACAGACAGTTTTGGCAATCTGTTGTGTCCAGTGGTCTTTGGTCTAAAGAGAGGAGTTGCTTTCCCCAAGAGACATGCACGAGAGAGATTCAAAAATTGGTAGGGGTAACAAGTGGTATGTTCTTTGTGAACTGAGTTGTTGAAGCTTGTGGTAGGTAGCGTGGATTGCATGCCATGCGATGGCGCATTAATTGCGAGCCTTTTCCTTTTCCCCTCACAAAGATCATAGTTTCGGTGAAACAGGCGGCCATTAGCCATAGATAGCCATAGGCTACGCTTGGACTGGAAACGGCTTATATACCCTGAACGGGAAACAACCGAGACCTCGTGTGCTTGATTTGCGGGAAGCCAACACTTCACTTCAAATTCAACTTGTGCAACTTTCACCCTTACCCTCACGTCCACTTTGCGCAACACCTCCGCATCAGTGTGGCAATCCCCGAATTCACAGATAGTTACAAGTCGGCGAGGCCTGATTAGTTATGTTTGTTTTGGCCTGTTCTTCAAGTTCCTTGCATGCTGCGGCAAGGACCCGTTGTGTCCAGCATGATAAACATCCGAAGTTTGATGAACGCACATGGTGTGAGCATCGTGAGCTGTCATTTGCACCTGTGAAATACGAAAGCCAGCCTTCGTAGAAGGCGCCAGCTGAGTTGTGCTTGGCGAACGAAGTGAGTAGTTAGGGGGTCTGGGGGGGTGGGCCCGCAAAAGGTACACGTAAACTCGGCACATGCTGGGAAAGGAGGGTGGACGGATGGAAAGGATTTTTGAGGTTGTGTTGGAGGTGATTTTTGAGGGGTGGTGATGCAAGAAATGCAATTTGCATCACTTGCATCATCTGAATGGTAAGGTGCAGTTGGCACCTTGCCAGGTATAGATACCCAGGGTAGCTATAGTGCAGTTACCAGGTACGGTATAGTACTTCAAGTTCCCATTCCATCAACCGCTCGATAACCTTCACACACGCACAGCAATCCGCAGCTTTGAAGTCTCATGCGCGCGATACCTGGGAACAGAATTGTAGCTACCCTGGGTCCGTATAGATGCTATGTTGCTATACCTCTTACACACCTATATAAGTTCAATGCAAGAATGAGGCTTCAAAGCTGTGGATTGCTGTGCGTGTGTAAAGGTTATCGAGCGGTTAACGGAAAGGGAACTTGAAGTACTATACCTGGTAACTGAATTGTAGTTACCCTGGGTATCTATACCTGCGCCAGCTGAGTAAGAAGGGGGGTTCGGGGGGTGGCCTGAGAAAGCACACTCGAAAGTAAAAACACTGGCTTTCGTTTTGCAGCTTCTCATGTTTGTTTTTGGAGGGGGACAGCGCTTGTGAGGTGGGTGAAGATGTCGCCAGATGTATGCACACATGTGGTTGCACATGACTGTACCATGGAGCGAGTCACGCGCTTGGCCGCCCTCTTCGCAGTTGCTTCCAGTTTGTTACCAGTTCTACACCGACACACCTGTTTTTTTTTTGCAACCTGTTCGGCCGTCTTTCATTTCGTTGCAGTGTGGGTTTTTACGTTCGCCCAACTTGATAGTGTGCTGCACAACTGATTCACGCCCCTCAATGTTCGGACTTGCCAAGTTGTGGCATACATCGTCACCGTGTCAAGAAGGAAAGGACGAACAGTGTCAAAACAAATAACATACGGAAACCATGCACTCTAAGGATTCATGTAGTGATGTCCGCATAGTAAGAGGTGTTTTTCATACCAAAGACATCCAAAGACTTCACATTCACAATCCAGCATCACGACAAATCCGCTGGCGTCAAACAGACCCATTCTGCAACACACAATGCAATCGAATGCGAGACAATCATGTTGGAGTGTGGCAGTTGCTGAGGAGCCCTGGGCATACATGGACTACTGGGGCATCTCGACTAAGTTGCTGCAACAACCGGCTTGAGATTTGTCCTGGTTACCCAGGCTCTGCGCATAATTTCCCCGCATGGCCCTCAAGATGTCTCAATCCGCGCTGGCGATGTGGCATGATGGAAGTCATCCTGTGCCTGTCAAGATCAGGATTATGAAAGTAAAGGAAAGCCTCGCCGCGTCCTTGTTCAAGGCGTTGACATGATTTTTTGATACCAGACTAGCACGCAGCTTAGGCCGCAAGGGCAGTTCTGACATGTGGTGGTAGCTTCCGGGTGTGCGTTGTGTTTCACCAGCAATGTGCTGTAGCAATCAGCCCGGTGTTTCCAAAACGCTGCATTTGAGCGAGCAGCTGACAAAAGCCTGTTGCGACCAAATTCCGGTGCTCGAAATGCTTGTGCGATTTCTGAACTTAGCCGTTTTCAGTTCAAAGGAGTTGTGTCGTGTTCGCTGGGTGCTCGCCATCTCAGCATGTTGAAAGTGAGACCTGCCCGCATACCAGCAGAACAGAAACTTGAGATACTCAGGAATGACTCTTGCAGGTTTTTGCAGTGTCCGCTTCGAAGCCTGGCTTTGCGTGAGGCTCGCAATTGGATGTGCGGTGATGTTGGTCCAGGCGCATGTTGCTCCAAAGTTAAAAGCTTTGAGCCGATGTGGAGAAAAATGATGGAGTTCGAAGGCTCGGGTATACCAGGTGCAAGTACGTGAAAAAAGTGATGCCACCGGCCACCTTAGCAAGGATCGGTCTCCCAAAGCACCAACTCTCTTCGCGATACACAACATTCTAGTCGCGCACATGGAGTATTCAGGCATGAGATGGAGAACTGTGGGATTAAAACCCTTCCCGTGGAACTCTTTTTGTCACTCAGCATGGTGCCAAGCAAAACTTTCTGGGGGAGGGCAAAGAGCAGGCACAAGGAAAGAGAGCGGGGCACTGTGAGAGTGCATGCTAAAGGTTGATCGTTTGACATGTGCACAGTCTTTCGCGCATGTAACTTTAAGCCTTTACTCAGGTAGAGCCTACCCGGGCTTAAGTGAAACAAGACAAGATTGAGATCGGTCTTTTGAAAGGCATTCCTTTCCTTCCTTCCTAAGAATGTGTCTCTTTCTAGCAACTTGAAATTCTTATCGTTTTTCCAACGTGCCTTCACATCTGTAGAAGCACCGGATCTATTTTTTATGGTATGGAACCTAAGCCCACAGCCATGAGAGTCTTAAGCATCCTGCCTTGTCCAAAAAATGCCATTCTCGCTTGTGCAACTCTCAGTTTTATAAGACTCTGACCGTATAAATGCGAATATATGAACGTTCAGGAGGATTCTTAATGTTTGTTTTTGGAAAACGTGTTCCCTTGTAAAGATCTCAAGAGGGCAACTGAAACTAAAGAGTGTGAAGAGCACGCGGTGCTCTTTCTCCTTCGCTGTGCACTTTTTGACGTCACAACTTGCTCTCGGCGGGCTTTTGGGCCTAAAAGGTGCGCGGCTGTGCGTGCCCCTCGAGCGTGCGTCCCTTCGTTCTTCTATCGGGTCTCCCCGAGATCAACGCTTTGAGTCATGTGGGGTTCTGGGCAAGTCCCGCGTCACGGACACCCTGTCACGCTCTTCACACACCTCAAGAAACTCTTCATGATTTGGCCTTCTGCATGAACTATGCCGACGCAGGCAGAAGACTGCGCGACTCCTATCACCAAAACCAACTCAACACCCAGATGTGGACCACACAGTTGTGAAAAGGTGATGTGTTTTTGATACATGGTTTGTATCTCTCGCTAAATATATATAGATTCAGATATATGCTTGTATATATATATATATATGTGTATTGATATTATCCAAGAGGTTGTTGAAAATTGTTGAAACATTACTGGTATATATATATATTTATGTGAATAGTTTTCAAGATAGACCAGAGGTAGTATGTATAGCATGTCATTACAGTGTTCACCTGACCGCAGCCCTTTTGCATGCAGAGAAAAGTTCGCATGGCAGCGGAGCAGGGATAAGCCCCTTTGAAGTAATTTTTGAGCTTCAGAGAGAAGCCCCTAGGAGTGCCCCTAGGTCATTGGGAACCCGGGAGTGTTTCGAGCCATAGGTTTGGGCCTTTGGAGCCCAAATAGCTGGACTGGTGAGAAGTTGTTGTGAGCTGCGCTCTGTACCCTGCACGTTGTGTCAGAAGGACATTATTGTGCGACAAGGATCGAAGAGACAAGAGAAATCCCCAAGTTTTAGCACAGAGTACGCAAGCAACAACATCAGCAGCTGAGGCAGTGAACAAAGCAGTTGAAGACAGGAAAGCAACTACAGCAGATTGGTCAAAGCTGGTTACTGGTCACAAAGCCCAAATCTGTCTCACTATAAGTCACAAGAAGAAGAGATTAAGGCCGTTCAGAGAGTGGTCATGGGTATTTGAGAAGTACTTGAGCCCAGTGGATGAGGCTTACATGAAGGACTTGGAAGGGATTCATGACAAGCCAAGCGAGAACTTTGACATGGTGAAGAGGAGAAAGCCAGGTGCATCAAGCGCTATGGATTTTTAGCATCGTTGATGAGGGGCGGGGCGCTACAATTGGTGAAAGCTGTGGAGGACTCCAATGGACTTGATGCCTGGAGGAGTTTGCACAAAGCTTGAAACCTACTTCGATGGCAAGAGGATTAGCCACTACATGGCCAGCATTTTCTATGAACAGTGCTCTACAACCTCAACTTCTTAAGCTTGAAGAGGTATTTAGAGCCGGTCAAATCAGGAGCAACAATTCAATAAGCGTTGAAATCTGCTATTCTTTTGAGATGTGTAGGTGGACAGCTCAAATCCTATTTGAATACGACAAAATATGACCATGGGCGACAATGTTCATTCAATACTCAACTTTGGGAACAAGTGTTGCAATGGGACCGTTCTCAGCAGAAGTGGGCTACTTCAATGGTTGCAAGTATCTGTACAGACTATCAAGGACCCATGCGCATGGACGTTGATCGAGTTCAAGATGCCGAAGGAAAGGGCAAGAAAGGTAAGAATGATTCAAAAGGGCCCAGATAAGGATGCTAAAGGCCAAGGAAAAACGGGAAGGAAAAGAAGGAAAGGTAAGGGTGGGTAAGGGCAAAGACCACAAAGGAAAAGGTGTGGCAGCTTATTGTTACACTTGTGGGACGCCAGGACATCTTGCTCGAGACTGTTGGGGAAACAATATTCCACAGGTTGCAAGTGATACAGACCATGCATCTTCAGGCGGAGCATACAGTTGGCCACCAACAAGCCAATTTAAAGTCAGCAAAGTAGCTCGGCGCATACCAAACCAGTGGTCAGAAGAATTGAGAACAGTGAGACAATCATTTTTTGACCTACGAGAAGGTCATGATGATGCAGAAGATCATGGAATTGGAGCGATTCATTTCTACATTGGAGATGATTCGATGGTGGTTAGCCATATGAAGAAGGAGAAAACCACATTGAGGAAAACTCCATGGAGATTGAGAATGAGGAGTCCAAGGTTAGAAGACTCGGAGAAGAGAGAGATGATGTGGCCATCATTGTAGAGCTGATGTAAATTTATTCCCTTTGAATAAGGCAGATCATGGGGAAGGAGAGCTAGACTTCAATTCAGCTACCAAACTACAAGATGCCCAGGGGAATTGTATCCCCACCGCCGGGGGTGCGAAAAGTGTAGAAATCTCCTTGCGTGACATGGATGGACGTGAAGTTCTTCTCAAAGAGAACGTGGTCTTCAGTTCAAAAAAGTGAATCAGCCCACAATTTGCTATGGAAGACTGGTGGAACATGGTTGGGGAATCAATGGTCAGGGGCAGAGGTTGGAGGATGGTGACTTGAAGGTGCCACTCAACTTGCAAAATCGCTCTTTGACATGAGGATGAATGCTGCTAGCTCTGGAAAAGGCAGCAGGTTGGAAAATCAATGAGCATGGCCTACTAGTTGGAAAGCTTTTTGGCTTCAACATTGGTTGATCCCACATTCATTCCAGAAGTGGAAGATTCACCAGAGCTGATGAGAACCACCTTGGTGAAAAGGGGAGGTAGATGGCTTATGCCTGAATATTCTGAGATTATGATGAAGAAGGAGAACTTGATGAGCACATCTGTGATGATGATGCAGTCATTATTTCAATCGCAATCTTCAGCTACGAGCCAGCACCACCAGAAGATATGGAGTTCTTTGCGCCAGGATACAAGAAGCTTGAGAACAGAGAGGAGAGAAAGAAAGATGTGGAGAAGGCAATCGAGGAGATTACCCCTACTCCACCTGAGAAGGAGGTCGAAGATAAGAAGACCTCGAGTCAAGTGTGAATTACAATTGAGCCCAGTGGGCATCGGCAAAATCTTGGTGAATGGAGTAGACGAGTTCTAAGGATTCTACTTTAGCAACTTTGAGGGCAGCGTCGGGCAGCCATCTCTGCTAACGGCTCTAAGTTGAAGGTCTACACAAAGATTCTCAATCGCAACAAGAGAATGGAACTTTTGAATGCCAAAAGCTTGGTGAGTGAAGCCAAGCGAAAGCTCGAGAGACAAGAGAAGCACTAGGACAAAGTGTGGCTAAGACACCAGATGAAGCCACTGAGGATTGAAAATGCTGAGTGCACCATATCGCTCACTTGTTGCTGTTGCCTGTGGCTTGTGAACATCTGTGTGAGAAGCCCTAGCTTGGCAACGGTGCCTATGGTCATTGTAGGTTCTGATGCAGCTCCTTGGTGCACAAAGGCCATTGGAGTCACAACCCAGCAGTACAGAACCTTGCAGCTGCCACGGCCCCTCATAGGCTTGAGGCGGTCACCAATCCGGTTGAGGAAGGCATGATTACTTTTCAAGCCCAGCGCACCGTTGCAGAAGTTCATGCCCCAAGCACTACCAGTGCAGCCAGCAACCTGTGAGGCCAGTATTTTTGCCAAAACATTCTGAATTGGGAAAGGGTGTCTTTGTTCAGTGTTTAGCTTTTCCAGCAAGAAGCAAGGCGAGGGTTGTTGCTCGTCCTCTTCGTCCGCACGGGGTCCGATGGCGAGGGGTCCATTCCGAGAACCACGTATACTGAAGAACCACCGGCCAAGCTCGACTACCCCATGTTCGATGGAGATGCGGATTTTCCAACTTGTCAGGACGGCCAGTTGTGGGGTGATGGCGTTCCATTGTCAGAGTCATACCTGAATGGCAACAAAGACCCAGCTCCAAAGAATCTCTTGGAGATCAGCAGCGCCCATCACCCAGCAAAGAGCACAGCGTCCAGTCCAAGTTCGTGTTTGACCCCATTAAGTTCAAAGAGGCCAAAGAGAAGAGAAACAGGCGGTGGGATGGAGTTTGTGGATTTTGGTATGGTTACGTTGGTTCGTATTCACTCAGCATCTTGGAAACGTTGATGAAAATGTATGTTCTGATTGGTTTTACTAGTTTTTGTTTGTTGTTGCACGCAGGCGTGATTGAACACCTTAGGAAAACGACCGTGATGGGTCTCACTCTACCTCTGCCCAGGTCTTGGTGAGTCAATTTTTGGACACTGCTTGAAACATGTTTGTTCTGTAGTGTTTTGTGAGATTTTCAGACCGTTGATGAAATTGAACTAGAATCATTGACAGCATTTTACGGCAAACAACCTGGAGGTCGAGCAACAGCGGGA